TGATTATAGTATCTCTTCTGGGAATCATTGCTTTAATGACATTCTTGTCACTACGAGCTCCTTGAAGAAAAAAAAAAAGTTTTCCGTGACCAAGTAAGTTAGGGGAACTCTAGGTTAAAACAGAGTTAAGCAAGGGTCTTTAGTGTAGGACAATCCAAATTGTTAATATGCTAATGTGCAATAATGCTCCAAAAGATGGCACTTGGCACTGCTTTGATTATGCTCCCCCTATTTTGAAAACCATACTCCATCAACTCTTTGTGCCAGGGTTCTGTTGAATCATGGCTTGGTTCAAAATAACACAGCAATTTCTAGGTCTAAACTTACCACTCCATTTTCTCCCTTAGAATGAAATTCTAGGAACCAGTGTCCAACAGCCATTTTGCTTGCAGCTTTATCCACTGTGCTCTGAATGGTGCCTGACATAACAGAATCTTATCAATTGTTGAAGGAAAGAATGGTCAATGTGTCTTTCCAGTCAGTTCTTAAAACATGACTTTTCCACCAAGTTTCAGAAATGCGATCAATCTGTCAAACCAACAGCAATTAGTAAAACAATTTGCCTCTAAGTGCAATGTCTTAATCCAATGGTTTTCTAGGGTTAGTATGCATTAGAATCATTTGGAGAATTAAAAATACACATTGCTAGACCCAGCCTCCCTGACCTTCCATGGTGGGTAAAGAAATTCAAATTTTTCAGCACCTCAAGGGAAGCTAATGCATCTGACCACGTTCTGAAAGTCACCATCCTAACAAAAAGGAGCTCTAAGGTGGAACATCTTTGAGCAGGAAGGCTTTTTAGATCTACTGCGAAGGAAGAAAGATACAGGCTTGTCCTATCAGCTCAGGAAACAAAATTAAGAATTACAGGATACAGTCATTAGAAAGTAGATTATAGCTCAAGATGAAGAGGCACCCAGCAATGACGCAGGCTTCCTGGATGTAAAGACTTCTCATCACTGCGGTTGTCAAAGAGAGGTTGGATATGGTAGAAAAGATATGCATGGCAGACAGTGATTAGATTAGGTTTATCTGCAACCCTGAGATCTGGGATAAAGGCTGAAAACCCAGATTCCTTCACAGAGCGGAAGGCAGCCACATATAGGCGTCAGTGGGGAGCTGGAACTTGCTCCCGTGTAAAGGCATTCAATTTTTAAGAACTCATCATCCCCAGACATAATGCAAGGCAGGACTCACTCAGGGAAGTTGGCAGCTTCTGTTTTATGAATTATTCCAAATAAGTAACTGCTTACTCAAATCCTGAATAAAGAGAGACAGACCTGTCAGTTGGAGGAAAAGGGGGTGCATTTGAAGAAAATATTTTAAGCATAGCTTAATTCTGAATGATTGAGGGTAATTCCCTGCCAGAGAAATCCTAGCTAGAGTATATATGTATGCATACATGTGTATATGTATTTCATTATAACCGTTTCTGACCCTCTTCCTGGGGTTTCCCTAGCAAGCGAGATAATGATTAGCTTTCCTATTGGTACTTTGCTATCTAAAGGTGACATTACTTTTCTTAATACACACTGTCAGCGCACTAGGAGGTTGCTGTAACCTATAAAGGCATTCCGATGTTAATCACTCAGATGGACTGCTGGAGAAACAGCCATTTAGAGACTTCACCCGGAAGAGGCTTCATCTATCAGTTTTATGCATCTCATGTCAGTTTCTGGTTTAATGGAGGAAGACTTGGTCATCTTTTTTAGCATGTTTACTTTGATGAGAAGCTTGTCTCTCTCCCGAACCCTTGAGTCATCCACTATTCTGAATCCATTCCAGTGGTTGCTAATTAACCTTAGAGAAGGTACAAACCCCTTATTTAGCCAAAGAAGCTGGGCAACGTCTATGGGGTCCGGGTGGCTTGTGGGATGAAGAAATTCTCTATCCTGACATGATTATTTCTCTCCATCACCATTTCTCATGTGCCTGGCAAAGTGTTCCCCCTCAATGGGGTATCTCAAGTGATCTCACAGTGCTTACTATGACTATTCAACAGTGTTTCATAAGCAGATCAATGCATTGTTAGAGACTCACAGCTATACTAACAATGAGGTCAAGTTGGCAAACAGTGTTTTTGCTCAGTAATTCACAGAGACAGGAAAAAAATACCACAATGTAGGCTGAAAACACATGTACTATTTCTTGCCCACATGATATAGATAGATCACAAAAAGAGGGCATTCAAATGGCTAATAAGCATAAGAAACTGTACTTCAACAACCATCAGGACAATACGAACTAAACCCCCAATGGGGTATCACTTCATACCCATCAATCAGAGTGGCTAAAATGGAAAAGACAGACAACGGCCAAGTGTTGGTGAGGACATGGAGCAACTGGAACTCTCATAGTCCACTGATGGCAGTGTAAATTGGTATAACCACTTTACAAAGCTGCCTGGCAGAATCTCCTAAAGCTGACCATACACATACCCTATAGCCAGTGACTTCATTTTTTAGGTATGTTTCCAACAGAGCGTGTCCATAAATTCACCAAAGGTACATACAGGGATGTTTGGCAGTACTCTTCATAATAACAGCCCCCAAATGGGAATACTCTGAGTATCTATGGACATCTAAATGGAAACATTGTTAAATATTCACACAGAGGAATACCGCATGATTCTACTTATGTAAAATAATAAAACAGGCAAAATTATGTTACAAAAAAGCTATGTTACAAGTGAAGATGGTGGTTATCTCTGGTGAATATTGACAAGGAAAGGCCTACAGGAGGTCTTCTGGGACACTGGAAATGTCTTGTTTGATCTGGTTGGTGGTTACATGGGTGTGAACTTTGTGAAAATTCATAGGCTCTATACTTAAGTTTTTTTCATTTTTCTGTATACAAATTTTGTACTTTTCTGTATATTCACTATACTTCATGAGGTTACAGAAATTACTACAGAGCAGTGTTTCAGCTTCTCAGTTGGAGTTCTGTCCTCTTTCATGTTTTCTTCTTATTGTTTTATTGAGTGTGGGTATGTTTGTGTTTTGCAGCTGTTTGGCAGGGCTACTGGGAGGTGGGCAATGCCAGGGGAATAAGCCTGGTTCTCTCCTTACTGCATACCAAGTGGGCCCTGCCAGGGTCAACAAACTGGATAATCAAAGTCAGATACCCAGAAATGACCAGTGGCCTTAGAAATCATTTTACATGTTTCAGGAGAGGAAACTGATGCCTGGAGAAGTGAAGTTAATTAAGTATATGTAACTGGTTTGCACGGTAGGACAGACAATGAGTTTAATGATTCCAATTTACATGAGCCTTATACACTGATGTGTACAGATGGGGCTGTCAATTATTTCTTCCATGTCCATCACAAAGACGGACATTTTTAACTTGCCTTGTTCTTATGTGTTAAGTGACCATTGGCTACTTGTTAGAAAGTGAATCTCCTTAGGAGAAATAAGCTGACATTTATTAATATGAGACAAGTGATCAGATTTCCTTTCACCCACAGAGAGGGGAATCCTGAGGGAACTAAGCAGGACGTGGCTACATGGGCTGGAACTAGGGCAACTTGAGGGCAATTATTCCCTGCCTGGAGCTGCTGTGGCAATTTCCATGTAAGAAGTCACTTGATCCCCACAGGGCTGTGATGAAACCCTCTTCTATTTCCCGTGTTAGAGATGAAGACACTAAGACATGGAAGTTAATAACTCTCCCGAGGTCCTACTAGTAAGTGCCAGTGTGAGAGTCGCCCAGGACAGGCTGCTCTTAGCCGCTTGTTTGGATGGAACAGAAGAGTTGTAGCCATTATGGTGGGATGCCTAAACCCCTTCTGAAGATGTTATGATACTGGAATAGACCAGGGAGAAGGAGACATACAGGAGAATGCCCATGAAGAGCAGGAGACTCATCACAACCAAACAAAACCAAACAAGATATAATCGTGCCTGTGCATGCATGTATGCGTGTCAAACCGTGCTTTGTTTAAGTCATTAGTGAGCCATACTGATCATTTGAATGTATCAAATTTAGTTGGAAATTCTTAAATCTTTGCTTCATTATAAAGAGTATGCAAAAATATCATAACTCTAGCTGCAATGAAAGATTTTAGCTGAAGTCATGGTATTAAAAAGCAGTAAAATAATGACAAAGAACATGGGAGTCCTCATTCTCCTGCAGCTAAGCCAGCCCCTCTTGCTCTGGGTCATGGCATACCATGTACATTACTAACTCCATCCCCAGTGGGGCTTTTTCACATTTTCCTTCTTTCAGCCCTGCTGGACCATGACCACTGAGGGTCTCAACACAAAGTCTTCTTGCAGTTCAAGACCCTTCTCCATTGCATCACAAACCCAAACCATCATTTACTGCCTCATACGTCTGATTGACTCCTGAGGCAATTATCATTTACACCAATATTCTTGGCCTGGAGCCCAACAGTTGAGAACACAGAGAGGAAATAACACGTCCCAAATTCGTTTAAATGATCTGTCTCCCTGGATGCCACACTTAATCCTGCCAGCCCTCAAACACCCCACACCACACTCTAAAAGGATGTCTTATGTGAGCAGGACAACAAGAACAGATTAAAAGAAGACAAAAGGCCTCCCTTCTACAACCAAGGTTGGGCTTAACAGGGCTGCTGAATTCAATTTTGCATTGAAATACAGTTTTCCCATTTCAAAGCAATGTAGAGGCATGCAGCTTGTTAGATTTATATAATGCCTGGTCTCTCAAGACTTTACAAAGCGAATGGCATCCATCAAAGTAATTTCCTTGGGGATCATCTCAAACATGGAGAATGAAGAGGCCCAGACCCTTCAACATCAAAAGAATGTTCTAAATGGTAATTAAAGTTCTATTATATTTTCTTTTTCTGGGAGCAGATTAGATTAATTCAATTGAGAATATTAGAAGTATCAAAGCTGACAGGATGAATGTGTTGAGAGCTGGCTGGAAGAACACTTAATATTGCAGACATCTGTTCATTCAAGTTATATGAAACACAAGAAAGAAGGAGACAGCTCAGAGCATGGGGTACTTACCAAGCCAGCACACGTAGACACGGCGACAGAGGAGGAGCTGTCATTTCTGATAAATCCCTGATAGAAACATCGCTGCACGGGGGGCTCCCGAGTCTCTGAAGCACCATCTTTTCCAAGTACCTGGACAATAAAGTGACTGCTCAAAATTGCCGAGGGCTTAAGTTCTAAATGTAGTTCCTGTCCAAATGCTGAAAACTGGTAATGCAGGGAGCTCCTGGCACTCTGCGCCGATCGCTTTTTCCTGCCGTTGTGCAAAATGTCGTGTGAAATATATGACCCACTGGAGTCCACTTCTACCGGCGTGACAAAGACATAATCTGTAATAGGAAAGGTTTAGCTGTCAGCACCTAGAGCCACAAGGCCGAAGGGTCACTTTCCAACAGGCTGGCACACAGCAATGCACGGCTCAAAAATATCTTTCCTCTTATTGCTATGCACCTAAACTGAATACAATTCAGAGCAGCTCAGGAAGATGAGAACCCTGTGGGCTTAACGATTAGCGCTGCCACAGTAATTCCTGCAAAAATGGGAAGTCAAGCACAGTCTTGAGGACAGTCAAGAATGTTTGTGGAAAAAGCCACAACTCTCATGGTTTGGAGAGAGAGACAGACTTTTTGTGTATTAGTCATAGAGCCATCTATACATAAACACTGACTTTTGGAGACAAAAATTAAGAAGCAGAAAGCCACAAAAGTAAAGAAATGAACATATTTTTCAAGAAGATTAACATCTTTGTGTTTAAACTGAATGGGGAGCGTTTCTTTTTTTTTGGCAGAGTTTAAATTATCAAATGATAACTCACAGTGCTGAGTAAACTCACAGAGTTTAAATTATCAAATGATAACTCACAGTGCTGAGTAACTTGAGATGATACCTCAGACAATGAACAAGTAATGTCAGTTTCATATTTCCGATATGAATTATGCATGACAATAAAACTTCAGCGCTTGTATCACTGAACATGTTGCTGGGAGCATTCACAGGGGCAACCCCATTTAATCGTAAGCATAAGATGGAGTCAATGCATAACAATGCCTCAAAATCATCAGAGCTGTCCTATACAGTCTGCTGTTTAAAATTGCTCAGACATGTTAGCAGGGGAGTGTCAGATCGGGGGACACCTGGAAAGGCATGTTTAAAAATACCTTCACCATTGCTCCCTAGAGCAGCACTAATTGCAGTTTGTTCTAAAGAGGAGGAGCTAAAAAAGGATCTGCTGCTGGAAAAATGAAGCCAGCACACTGTTTTCTATCACAAAACATTGAAACTGAAAAGCATCATCCCAAGAAGTGATTTGGAATATGCCCTCTGCGGATTCAAACGCACTCTGCGTTTCCACTTTCTAGGCACAGAATGGGAAACTAATTTGGAAAGTGTCTAGAAAGATTCCGAAGAACTAAGAGGCATGTTTGAGTCACTTGCGTCCCTTGGCTGCTGGAGGAGAAAAAGAAAGAGGAATCCCCCTTTTCTCAAAAGAGTCAACAACCCAAAAGCAACAACGAAAAAACTCAGGCATGAACAGAAGCGCTGCAGCTAGCAGGGATCAAGGAGTGATGTTATAATTGGGGTTATATTTGCAAAGAAATAAAAAGGACAAGAAAAATCCCAATATGACAATAATTTTCAACTGTTTTCCTCTGTGTATGAACCATCTGTGACATTTAACCGCCTGAGCAGCTCTGTGCCTTCAGTGGTCTCTGTGACGCGCCTCTCCCATTTCTCTCCTTTAATTAGAAATCCCACCTAGTTGACATGCATGTTAAACAATTGGGAGAAAAGTTCTTCTTCTCTTTTAACCTTAAAAAGCTGGGGATACACACTCTTTCTCTTTTAAAAATCTCTAGTATCCTACTTTTACAGGTATGTGGCTCTTGATTAAGTGTGGCTTTTTCTTAGCAAAAAGCCACCTCCTCTCTCCACCATACTAAAACCTAACTGTGGAAACTAGCCCTGGCACACACTCCAGATGGTCTCTACAGTAAGTTCTTACCTCCTTGTCCAAACCCATCTGAGACTGTCTGCTCTTAGTTGGGAGGCCACGCAGGAGCCTTATCCGGCCAGTCTTCCGTGGACTCAGCCCTCAAAGCCCCCCACCCACCCACCTTGGGCCAGACACCTGCTACTGGTTTGCTTCCAGGGGGAGAATGAGCAGTCCTTGATGGAAGAGTGCAAGAGGGGCAGTCAGAGCCCCCTGTAGAGAGTAATCTGATCAATCAGCTCAGGGTCTGACTAAAGATGAGGTCCTTACAGATGGTGGCTGGACCAGAGGGGACCTCCAGCCATTTGACCCTGATGGAACAATGAGGGGTTGTTTTAGAAATGGTAGCCAGCCTCTCTGGCTGGACAAAAGGTGAATTTCTCCAGAGCAAATTCCTGGCTCTCTTCCTGTCCCCTCACTCACCCACACCTTGACACAGCCCTTCTCCATGACACTGCCCTTGCGTCCCCCCCACCCCCACCCCAAAGGATCCTTTGTCCCCTGACACGTGGAGATAACCTGGTGAGGCTAAAAATTACAGAATCCTGGTGGGACATCAAGGTCCTGCTGTCTAGCGTCAGGAAGCACCCTGGAGCGGGGATCAGCTGCTTTCCTGTAGCTGGTGGCGGCAATGGCGAGAAGGATTTTCCTTCTGGGCACCAACAAGAAGTTAATAAACGACAGAAGTGAAGGCTGTTCTGGAGGTTTGCAGCTGGGAAACCGCATAAAAGATAAAAAATAAAAAATAAAAAAAAAACCCAGAGACCCCAAGCTACCTGCTCTCCTCTAAAAGTGGTCTCTGGGGATCCTAAACACAAAGGCAAGAAAAAGAGGGACAAAAGTCAGAAAAGGAACACGAGTGGAGAGGAGGGGGGGGGAAGGGGCTCACATTCTTGCATTCCCCACCAAGAATTAGTTCCCGCGGGTTTTCCCAGAGACCAGGGAAATGAGGAAGGTGCCTTTTAGTTATTCACTGCCTACGGAATGTCTCACCATAGTAAGGAAGGATTTTCTTGTTAAAAATTTAAACAAGCCATCTGCGAACGAGGTAAAGTATTGTTTTCTCACTTATGTGACTTGCATCTTGAGGCTTCGAATGTTTAGGTAAGTTCAGGGTCCTCGCCGCCGTCGCCCCCACCCCCCACAAGCTGGAACCCTTTCCAGGACGCGCGCACACCTGCCAGGTTAGGGGGCTTTTTAGGTGCGCTTTGTTACCTTTCCTGTCCTAGGATGTTAGGAGGGGACAAAGTGCCTGGGGAGACCCTGCGGGGGGTGGGGAGTAAATACGAACCAACGTTTAATCCGCGGCCGCCGCTGCTGTCACTGGCTAAGGCTGCGGCGACCGACGCGCAGCAGAGGCAGCACAGCTGGAGCGCCTGCAAGAGAAAAGGTGACACCGCGAGTGATGGGGCGCTGCGGGGTTGGCGCCCCTGCCACCCGCTCTCGGCGCGCCCGCGGCGGGCACCTGCCTTGGCCACGCGCCCCAGCCCCGCCGGACCCCACGGCGGGCCCGGGCGGGCGGCGGGGAGGGCGCAGGCGAGCAGGAGGGCGCACTCCATGGTCAGGGGCGGGCGCGGCGGCTGCGGGCGGCGCGCATTCTCCCCGCCGCCCCGGAGCGCGGCGCTCCAGGTGCGGCGCCAGGTGGGAGCCGCCGCCGCTCACATCGCGGGCCGGGCGCGCCGGCCTCCCCGCCTCCGGCCGCCCGCGCGCCCTTCCTTCTGCGGGGCGCCGGCCTGCGAGCTGCCGCCTGCGGCTCCCCGCGGGGCGCGGGGGCTCCCCGGGCCGGGGCTGCGCGCCTCGGAGCGCACGGGGCCGGGGGCTCTGTCCCTGCCTGCTCGCCGTCGCCCGCCAGTGTGCGCGGCCGTCGGCGGCCGGGCGCGCGTCTGCGGCTCCGGGGCCGCCGCGCCAGCTGGCTCCCCGGCGCGCCGCGCGAGCGCCCGCCTCTCCTCCGCTCGGTGATTGGCGACCCGCGGCTCCGGGCCCGGCCGAGCCCCCGGGCTGGTGCAGGGCGTGGGAGTCCCGGCTCCCGCGCCGGGGGAGGGGCCGAGGGAGGGGCGGGGGGGGGCGCCCGGGTCAGGCTTGGGAAACGTGATTTAAGCGCAGCGGGGGCCGAGCTGGGAAGGGGCGGGGGCCCCAGGTAAGGGGCGCGCCCTCGCTTGCTGCCTGCGCAGCCTTCTCCTCTGCGAGTCGCCCGGCGAGACAGCCGAGGTATGTAGCGTTCCCAACACCTCCACAGCGCCAGGTGCTCTCGCGGCTTTAGCTACTTGACCTCGCGCCCTATCTTCGAATGGTGGGAATCATTAACCCCTTGATGAAGACAAGAAACTGGGCTCTGCCGGGCTCGAGGTAGCCGAGCTCCCCAAAGAGTAATGTCCGCGTAGAGCTCGCAAATCTCCGGCAGCAGGGAGGGCTGGGACCCGAACTTTGTGACTTCCAGCCGTCGCCGGCAGTGCACAGGCCTCTTCTCCAGGCCCTTTCTGTCTCCTCCGCCTGATCATGCCTGAACGCTGGCCCCAAACATGACCTACAGACATGGGCCGTAACCGTGCTGCCCTCACCAGGAACGTGCATCCCACTCGCGGCGTGCCTGTTCATTCATTCACTCCGTGCATTTGGTCTGAGCCCTACTGTTTGCAGGGATGATCAACAGGTACTCTTCTCACAGGCCGGTGGGAAAGAACTGGATAACTAAAACAGTACCAGAACCAAAATAATCGCAATCGCAATACTTAAAGGATAAGAACAGGCTCTGAAGTAGACAGCATAAGAGCCCAATCTAATTTGGGAGGTGAGGGTGGGTGGGTGAACAAGAGTGTGTGTGTAAACTATGATGTTTCTTTAGAGCTGACATTTCAAATAAGAGTGAAGAGAGTGCGTCAGTTTTACAAGGAAAGAGCATAGCCTAAGTGAGGGTCTGCACGTAGGATAAGTGTTTGCCTTGACGGCAGGGTTACAGGCTAGAGGGGGAGCAGAGAGCAGACGGCCAGGTCGATAGGACCTTGCAGGCGGGGCCCCAGCTCCTAGGAATCCGTTACTTTTAAGATGAACTTGCGCAGGAGGCAACACTGGCTCCAAAGACGATGCGGTCACGTGGGGATGTGACTTGGCGGGGCTGAGGCACAGCCAGAGCCGCGCAAGGAAGGAATCCGTTGTTAGAATCACAGTGAGCTACGATGTCGTCTTGGACCAGGCTGGTGGCAGGGGTGGTGGATGTCAAGCCTGCTCTGGTCCTCAGGGTACCAGCGTGGTTCCGACGAAGCCCATGTCACATCTTAGAAGAAGGGCAGCTCAGTATGCCTGGTCTGGGTCACTGACGCAGCAGTGAAGAGGTAACCCCCGCCCCCACCCGCCCACCCCGACTCTCCCCCACCCCCACGGCCTCTTCCGTATAAGCAGAGCAGCTAACACAGTGTTTGCCCAGGGAAAATGTTTGCAAACGGAAAAGCTTTTTGGAAAGGCCTCACTGTAAGGAAACCCCTGTTCAACAAACCACTTGGGTTTCCCTGCGTAATCTGTTTAAGCTCTTGTGGCCTCCATTTTAGGATCTGGAAAATAGGAATAAACACAATACATCAAAAGAATTAAGTCTGTTTTCTGAGCACTTTATAAGTGGGCTTTAGAAGACCAAATGATGCCCTGCATTTCTGTTACTTCATCCATCCTATGTCAAACTTAAATGAGCATTAAAATTACCTGGGATGCTGGCTTCAATATAGATTCCTGGGCCGTGAGCCATGGGAATTCCAAGTTAGTAGATTTGGTGTTGGGCCCAAATATGCATTTGTAGCAAGTGTTTGTGGATGATTACAACCCAGGTGACTGAAGTACTTTACGAGATCTCAGTGAAGAACCGGATGCTAAAGGGAACTGGACATGAAGGACTGACTCATAGTAAAAATGGTGCTCCAAGAAATATGGCCAAGCACCAGGCTGGCTACAAAAACATGGGGAGGAGCAGTACTGTGAGTCAGTCATCACATCAGTGCTGACGGAGACTGGAAGGAACAATAGCCACGTCCCTCACTGGCATCTCTCCATCGAGATACCCGTGCATGGACTCATCCACACCTGTTTGGTCTCCCTTTTTTGCAGCCAGTAATTGAGGTTATTCATCATGTCAGGGCAAGAGTCTCAGGGACTCGTACCGATGCTCTAGGCCAGACAGTGGCATTTCTCAACCTCAGCCCCTCTGACATTTGGGACTGGGTAACTCTGAGATGGGGGCCATCATCTGCCTTTCAAGCTGTTAGGCAGCACATCTGGACTCCACCCACTAGAGGCCTCTAGCACCCCCATCACTGAGAACCTGGATAAATAATATTCTGTGCCATTTTTCTCCATCATCCTGGAGCCTCACAGCCTCCTGGACAAATGTTTGTTGAGTGCCTGCCCTTTGGGGGACTGGAGGCCTCCTCTGAAGCCTCATGTAAGTGGCCCATTCCCCACTGGTTTTCCAGCTCTTCTCCTGTATCCCAGTAAACCTGTGCACTCTGTAGATCCCAGCTCTCCATGCGGGTACAGACCCAAAACCATTTCTCACGTACTAGAGATCAAAACTTCCAACTCCATTCATTTGCAGATGGCGGGGTCTAGTTTCTTCTGTAGGGCTAATACACAAACCCTGCAAAGCCATAACTTGTGGGATAGTTTCATACATTTAATATTCCAGTAACTGTCCCTGCAATATGTATAAATTGCCTCTAGATGGTGACAAAGAGTCAGGAGCACATGGTCCAGCTTTTCAGTTGTGAATTGCAAAGTAGCATGGGCTTCCAAATTACTTGGAAACAACTCTTAGTTGATTTTAAAACTATAAATCTAAGACACTGTCATGTATATTGAAACTTCATAGTAATTTGCCTCAATCCTTTTGGGCTGCAATAACAAAATACCACAGCATGGGTGGCATATAAACAACAGAACTTTATTGCTGACAGCTCTGGAGTCTGGGAAGTTCAAGGTCCTTGCTTTGGTAGATTCAGGGGCTGGTGAGCTCTGCTTCCTGGCTCCCAGAGGACCTTCTTTTTGCTGTATCCTCACCGGGTGAAAGGACAAAGGAGCTCTCTGACATCTCTTTTATAAGGGCGCTAATCCCATTCATGAGGGCTCAGCTCTCATTCTCTAATCACCTCCCAAAGGCTTCCTAATACCATCACCTTGGGGATTATGTTCCAACATATGAATTTTGGGAAGGATTGCAAACATGCAGTCCGTTGCCTAAACCCATGGGAAAAAGAAAAAGGAAAAAACAGTCCCTGATGTGTCTGTCCTATTTCTTCAAACACAGCCCAGAACCCAGGGTGAGTATTCAGCAAACATTTGCAACAAGGAAGAGAGAAAGAAAGAGAAGGAAGGAAGGAAATGGTGGGAAGTTTTGAGATGGATCACACGGTTTGACTCGAAACTGTTTAAATGCTTTCCCCCTTTTCCTGCTTAAAAATCAGTGGTACAATTCCAGCGGTTGGTTTTTCTTCTTTTTACACTGACATAAGTTTAACCTTTTTTTCAAAATAATATGCAGTAAGTCACGTACTTCCTCCTGGCCGGTGCAGAAGAAAAAAATGGCAATTCCTCTTAGTCACTTTCCCCTTGGTCTGGGCTCTGGGAAGATACAAGCATCTCTTCCGTGGAAAATAGGACACGTTAACCTCCCTCCCACCATGGCTGGCTTTCTGTGCTATACCTGGCCCCTCATTTTCTCCCCTCCTTTCCACACGGAGAGCAGAGGGACACTGCCCCGCCTCTGGTGTTGTAAAGCTACATGGAATAGTTTGTTGGTTTTTATTTCAGGTTCCTGACAGTTTTCTGTAGAAAGTGTTTATACGTCCAAAGTCTCAGAAAAACGTCCAAAGCCGTGTGTCCAACCCCAGAACGGGGTGAAAGAGAAACAAGACACGAGGCTTTACTTATTTCAACAGAGTAGACAAACAGGAAACACAGAGATAGAAATAAATTTACCTCTTTAAAGCCCTGAGAGGGAAGGGCTGCCCTCTTGCCAGTGTCTCAGAAACCAGCGACAGGCAGTGACAGGGTCCCGGGGACAGCGGGGAGGGGAGGAGGAGGTGGGAGGTGACAGCAGCCGAGCGGGACTTCTCTCTCCTCCAGAGACAGCCACAGAAGGCTGAGGTGTTGAGCACACATAATAAAGAGTAAAATTCAAACAAATGACACGCAACCTTTGTTTTTTGTTAGTGACAATACAGGAAGAAGAACCTTACAGCGTTTAACAACTAGCTTTGTAAACAGACTGTCATCAAACAACTTAGGAAGCATCAACTCTTCTCCCTGTCTGCATCCCAGTCTCTCACAGCATTTCTTAGGACGCTGACCTTGATTTCTTCACTTTACAACCTGCGTGTGTTTCCTCCACTCATCTCGGCTTCCCTCTCTTGGTCAGGTTCTGCTTCCACGGGCTGCTTCCCTGTTCGATTTTTAGTCCCTTCCCAAGCCCTACTATTAACAGTAGTTTGTTTGCCTGAGGCTGAGCAGGCAGTATTATAACTAGACTACTTATTTCCACAAATGAACTCAAGGCCAAGTTCTGAGCAATCTGCACCATGGAAGAGTGGAATATAGGCTTCGCAATAGCCCTGGAAAATATCAGGCTGCCTAAGAAAGGGAAGCACCTTCTGTCTATGTGAAGCATTCTCTCTTCACTCTCCCCTGCCCCAGTGATTCCCAAACTCACGTCTCTACCCAGCCAGCCTGGGACAGCTAGGATGGGGAACTGCTGCTGCCAATCAAAATCACCTGGGAAGTCGTGAGAGCTACATTCTTGGGCATCCTGACGAATATTCCAGTTAAGTGGGTCTGGGTTGAGGCCC